GGAAAGCGCGCAGCGATCTTGTTACCAGGAAACGAGCTGTGCAACGACGAAGAAACGCATGACGTGTCTGGATAAAACACGGAACTGGGAGCCTCGGCCAACAGGGACTCCTCTGAGGAGCTGCTCTCTGACCTGCGGCCGGCAGCCGCCTGCCGCAAAAAAAAGATTTTGTCAGTCTTTGACCGATCTGTTATCGCGTCCACGCGTTTTACCACCGCATGTTCGTCGCCAAGCGACTGGGCGGTACCCGTACCAGTGCTAGTAAAGCTGTAAGCCCACCAAATACCATCGTGGTCCTAAATGAAGCGCATTAAAAATATGAAACAACTTTTCAGCAAATCTCCTTCAACTCTGGAACCCTGCTCAAGGGTCGATAAGCCAACAGCGTGGGAATGGCCCATTTAGTTAGGAGGTTAGTTTGAATGTCAGAACAAAGGGTTCAAACTCAACCCGCGGCATACAATTTTTATTTATTAATTGCTAATTCCCTGAAGACAGGAATAAACGCCCATTGCGCGTCGGTCCAGCTAATCGAAAAAAGGACACCACGTTACTAACTTTCAAACAACAGGGACAGCACTGTGCTTTGATGTGGCCATGCCTAAGTATGAGATATACAGCCGTAGAGCGACTACTACCCCCCTTAAACGGATCCATCAGCACTAATGATTAATTTCGTCATACCTGAAAAAAATGTACGGCACCTTCAGAGATGTCGTTGTGTGATGTAGCGATGTGTTCGACCAGCGAACAGTCGGCTTGTACAGCTTTGTTACGGTTTTCGGCAGACACGATCGACAATGAGTCATCGTCGACTGGGTCAGCTGGTCGTCTTCTTCCGGTAGATGATAAAGTGGAGTCAAACACATGCACCTCAGCACTAGTTGATGGCGACGCGGCGACAATACTGTCTTGTCCTTTGGGCAGTGAGCAGCTCAAGCAACTTCTGACAATCCTAGGGGTGGAAGGAATAGTTTTTGTGCCGATGATCAGCTTAGACTTTTGTACGCGTTCGATCGCTTCAACTGCCTCCGGATGACAGTCGACTATGTCTTCCAACAGTCGCCTGACCTCCTGCATGACATTTTCCCTGTATGTAAAGCGGTTTAAAACGAAACGCAATCAGTTCATGGTCAGCGATACCTGAACACCGATTCCTCAAGCGAATGCTGAACGCATACACCAGCTGAAATGGCTTCCAGCGGCAACGACTGTGCGGCCGGTTCGTAACGAACCAGGTCATTCGGCGGCTCGCCTTCCCCGTGGTGCAGCAATGTTCCGT